GGTTGATCTATGCACAGGCTTCTTATTGGCTGACTCTCTCTTAGTTATTAACTCCTTTCTATTAATCTGTGTGTCTTCGCTTGGTTTTGACTAACAGTGATGCCCAGGCCTCTTTCTTCCTCAGCAGCTACATTGTGTCACCCTCAAGCCTCACTGGCTGTGCTCCTCTTCCCAGAATCCTTCTAGTCTGTAGCCCCACCTATACTTCCTGCCTGGCTACATCCTGCCTATCCATTGGCCAAAACAGCTTTATTCATCAACCAATAAGAGAAACATACATTCACAGCACACAGAAGGACATCCCCATCAAAAATATATTCATGACAAAGCTTAGTTCACGAGGCAATGGTGTGACAAAAGGAGAGGGTGGGCTAGGGAGCGCCTAGGGTGAGGGCAGCATCTCAGACCGGCAGGCAAGGGTCCTTAGAAGAGAGAATGTAGGGCTAAGATAGGATATGGAAAGGAGGGGACAAGAAAGATTGTGATGAAAGAACTCTTTGGGAACAAGATGGTTGTGTGTGCAAGTGGGTCCTGAGACAGTGAAGGGCTTGAGAAATTTAATAATAAGAAAGAAGGTGGAATGGTGGGAGCCTAGGAAACAGTACAGGAGCTGGACTGTATTCTGTGGAAAGTGCTTGGGCTCTGCAGGCATGAACTCACCGCTCAGTACTGGGATGTGAATGTGAACTGTGACACCCCCATGAAAACTGACCCTCCCTCCCCAACTGGTGGTGCCACTTGGGAAGGATGCAGAACCTTCCAGACAGAGTGCCTCACGGTGTGCCTTGAGCTTGTCTGACAGGGCCTCACTTCCTGTTGACGCTCCTGACTGTGGATGTCACGGTATCGTCTGACTCCTTGTTCCCTGTACCTCCCCCAACACAGTGGACTGTATACCCTGGAACTGTGAGCCAGCATAAAGGAATCTTTCCTTAAACAGCTTCTTGACTGTTGTCACAGCAACAAAAAAGGGACTAATACACTGGAGCTCACTGCTCAACAGCCTGGTCCAGTGTTCAAATTCTAGGTTCAGAGAGAGACTTTGTCTCAAGAATATAAAGTCTAGAGTGATTTAGGAAGACACTGATCCCAACCTTTGATGAACAAAAACACACCCACATGAACACACAGACACACATACACACACAATTGTGCAATAACAGTATGTAAGAAATGGTGGGCTGTAGCATAGCTAGGTGGTTTGCCTACTCTAAGTATTAGTACAATTGTATCTTTTAAAAAAATGCCATCCCCATTTCTGCTTCCTGACCATGGATGTAATGGAACCATCTGGCCTCTTGCTCCTGTCGTATTTCCTGGAGCTGTGGTGAATCTATCCTTAGGCATTTTAAAGAGAGAATGTATCAGCATGAAATAATCTAAGTGGGTTAAGGTCAGTTAAAATCCTGAAAAACTCAAGAGATGTGTCTAGCAGTCATGTCGTCTTTGCGTACATGTCCCACAAGCAAACATGTCTGGCTGGTTAGAATTCATGCAAATTTGAGAGTGTGTCACCATGGTTGTATTTGTTCTAAAAAGAATAGTCCCAGCACTGGGGAGATGTCTCACCATGGTTGAGAACACCGGCTGCTCTTCCAAAGGACTTTGGTTCAATTCCCAGTACCGACACGATAGCTCACAACAATCTGTAACTTCAGGGGATCCTGACTTTCATAGGTGCTGTGCATGCAGGCTACCCATAGGCATTTGCGGACAAGACATCCATACACATAAACTAAAATAAATCAAATTAAAATAAGAATTACTCTCCAGAGATCCAGACTAAAATAGTTCTAAATCAATGAATGGTGGCGTAATACCCTGGTCAGAGCTCTGCAAATAGTCTAACTGTAAGAGTTTATGGGGACCCTCAAAAAATCCAGAAGAGAGGAGATATAAGAAAGGAAAAGAAGAAAGTGGCAGGAAGAGAACAGTATGAAAATGAGGTCAAGGTCACATTTCTCCAAGGCTTTCCCCAACTTAAGCTCCGTGGTGCTCACAGGTAATATTACTGGAGATGGGAACCGTGTGAGTCTTGGAGCAGCAAGCAGTTTGTTTAAGGACCAATAATGAAACGATACTCATTCTCGTTTAGTTTCTGTTCTGTGTGTCTGGATCCACAAGTAGCTTGGGAAGGAGAGGATTTATTTCATCCTGCAGGCTACCATCCATCTTGGTGGGAAGTTAGGGCAGGAACATGAAGCAGGAATCACTGAGGGACGGTGCTTACTAGCTTGCTTCAGGGTTCATGCCCAACTGTCTATCTAATACAGCCCCCCCTTCCTGCCTAGGAATGATGCCACCCATACTGGGCTGACCTCCACTGCATCAATCAGCGGTCAAGAAAATGCCCCCACAGACATGCTACAGCCCAATCTGATGGAGGAAGTTCTTGTTCCCACATGTGTCAAATTTGACAACCAAGATGATGCAGAGAGAGGGGGGTGAGGGAGGGAAGGAGGGAGGGAGGGAAGGAGGAGGGAGGGAGGGAGGGAGGGAGGGGGAGGTTGGCATTAGTTAAAGACATGCTGAATGCCAGACACTACTAAGAATAGACAGAAGTATCAGGTTTACAGTATCCGATGGCAGGGTTTACTGGCCAACAGCTACGGTCATGGTGGCAGGCAGGTCCAGCTTCACCTTCTAGAGAAGGGCTCTTGAAATAAAATAATGTAGAAGAATGTGGAGATGGCTCAGTTGGTAAAGCACAAGCACGAGGACCCGAGTTCAGATCCTCAACACACAGGTAAAATGTCTGATGTGGGGTCTCGCGCTTGACTATCAGTGCTGGGGAGGCAGAGGCAGGAAGACCCCTGTGACTCATTCAATTTAACCTGCTGGTAGAGTTGCAGGTTAGTAAACTCAGGTTTCATCTTCTCCATAGTAAACCTGCCTCTGGCTATAGTGTAAGTTCATCTATCCGTTCAGTATAAAAGGATGCCCCATAAAGATGAGGCTGTGGGAAAGGATAAGAGGATTGGGAGTGACGAAGTCAAAACACAGCCCACATTCCTCCACGCTAAGCGTTTCAGGCTTAACAAAGGACAAAAACACTGATTCTAAATTGTTTGTTTTTATTCCTTTTTGTTGAAAAAAAAAAGTCCTCTCTTTGTTTGTTTGTTAAGATAGTTAGAAAGACTGAAGTTGAACACAAATAAACACATTCCCTTGGGTATAAAATCAAGGCTTTGTTTTGTTTTTGTTAATGTTGTTGTGGAGGGTTCTCCCAGGTTTCCAGCCCATGTTAATGTTGCCGGGGTGATAAGCCCCATGCTTTTGGATTTACCATAAAACTCTCTCTAAAATATTTCATAATCTGGTGACATTGGGCTTTGGCTTGATCTAGTGAGTGTGTGGGTGGGTGGCAGTGAGAGGGACTCTGAAGGACTCTCTTGGGACCCTCTACTGTATTCCTGGGTATTTTATTTACTATATAGTGGAACCACTTGGAGACCTCCGAAGGAATTCTTTGTGAGTCTTGCTTTACAAAATTCTAGTCCAGAGTGACTGCTTTTCAGACTGACAACCAGCTGTAGTTTATGTCTGGAGTAGTTCTGGCTGAGAAGCCCTCCAAAAAACAACCTGGTTGATGGTAAGGTACAGTCGTAAACATTCTCAGAAAAAAGGGGAAACTAAGGCATCAAGTGATTAAATTGCCGTGGGTCACCCTAATAAATGTGTCACAACAGAGCATCCTGACTCTTAAGGAGGTCCAACTAGGGTGCTATAACAAGGAAAAGGCTGGAAAACTGGTGTGAATTTGGACCATGGGATGCTCGGTGTGTGTGTGTGTGTGTGTGTGTGTGTGTGTGTGTGTGTGTGTGTTAGGATGAGTAAGGTGGACAAGACTTGGTGCCCACCACGGACTTTTTCAAACAGGACTTTGTGAGTATTGCCGAGAGCAGGAAAGAAGAGGTTTTGTCAGGGTGGTTGGCAAGCTCTGGACTGTTGCATTAATAAGGACATGAATCTGATGTCTGGAGGAACAGAGAGAGGTCCAGGGAGCCCCCCCACAGGTCCCAGGCCCACAGTCAATGTCTGTGGGAGGAATTTGCAATGGAGGCCTCAGACTAATGCTGCCTCGATTTGATAACTATCATTTTCATGGTTGCCCTGATCCTGGTATGGGAGGCTAGCCAGGAAGGCAGCAGGGCCCAGGCCCTGCACTCTGCCAAGGTGGCTAGGTGACTTTACCTTCTTAGACTCGTGGGCCCCATCAGCTGTGGGGGAGGTGCCTGAAGGAGGTGGGAGGGAGGGAGGGAGTGACTTCATCTGTTTAATGAAAAATGACCTGAACGTCTCTCTGAACCTGGAAACTCCCCATCGAATTGGGGCCAAAGAAAACAGGATTAGGCCATATTTCTTCTAGGATGGCTCCTCTGCATCTCCTTATGATGAGTTAAACTGGAGGAACATGGGGGGGGGGCAGTGATCTCTCTTCATTGTCTCTGCAGAGAAATCAGAAGAGATGGAAATTGTTTCAGGGGTTAATTGGATGGGCTTTCTCCTGTCTCCCCCATGTCTCCTATAGGTAGGTAGACCTTCTTTCCATCTGACTCCATTGCCCAGCAAGTGGTCACCCCATGTCTTTGGTATGTATCCATAATAATATGCAGTTTGCCATATGGTATTCAGATAAAAGAGCGACCCCTCTGGCATTTGGTCTGACAGACCTAATGTTCCCTCTCCCCTCTGACCTCCATAGGGGAACAGTGTCTGTCCCGAAGTAGAGGGTTTTAAAAACCACAACACACATTTTGCCAGAGTGAGCAACACTGATGTGACATTCTCTGTGTGACTTGCTGGGGTGACCCTTTCCAAGAGCTTTGTGCTCAGTTAGGGGCATGGGGACTGTCTTTCACTGCCCAGTTTAAAATTGGCAAGGGAAGTCATCAAATCGAAACCACCTCGAAGATCACCCTTTTACAATCTCTTTAGGGCCCTGGTTCTTTAAGTCACTCTTTTAACAGGAGAATGTAGTAAATAAATCCACGGGGCTGTTTTCACTTTAATGCAATGTATATTTATTGTAAACAACAATATACAAAATGGAAAGGAAGGTGAGTTCCACAGAGAACAGAAAGTTTGGAAGGAGAAACAAACAAAACACAAACACAAACCAAACCTTACCTACAGAGAAAATATGACTTAAATGTCAGGTTTCTTAAGTTACAGAAATACTTTTTAAAAGGCCCGTTTTTATACAGAAATCAAAAGATGCCATATTATAAGAATGCTTTAAGGTTTTATTCTACTGACTTCTAAAACTGTTAATATATCTTTTTTTTTAAATTAAAAAAAAGTCTGCTATTGTTTAAAAACAGCAATCCTCATACTCTCCAGCCACAGCAGTAAGAATTAAGGTCTGTCCGATGGATGTCTCTCTGCAGGAGAGTAGGCAGGGGCTACCCATGACACATGCTTGCAGGGGCTCGCCCTGTTCATTGTCACAACACGTGAACACTTCCACATACAGTCCAGGCAGCCCGAAGGCCTGTGGCAGAAAACACTGCAAATGACTCAGTGACGTACCTACTGCATTTGTAGCCTCTCATTTGTACAAGGCAGAGAGAAACAGGCTTCCAGTTTGTTATCAACAATAAAAACAACAAAGGAAAAAAAAAACACAAGACGGACAAAAAGCATTTGTACAAATCTAGAATGAAGAATTCGAAGAGACTGGTTTTTAATAATAAAAAAGATTAAAGATAAATTAAAAAAATGGTTACAGTTAAGAACATAATTTAACAGATGACCATACCCTTTGAGGAAGGTGCCAACAATCTACCTTAAAGACAGTAAAATGAAAAAAAAAAAAAAAAAGGAAGGAGTTTTTTTTTTCTTAAATGAAAACTCCTCCTTACAAAATAAATAATTTTAGCACGTGGAATGTCTTGAAGGTTAAACGCTGGTGTTCAGGGAGGCACAGGTGACAGTCTGAGCAGGCACGTTCCAGCATCTGCTGTGCACATGGGACCCAGGCAGGCAACCCGGGGCAATGTGCTTGGGCACTTAAGGGCGGCTTGAAAAAAATCTTCCCCAAGAAAAATTGGTCTCCTTCGCTTGCTGTTGGCTTTCCTCCTGAGGCTACAGCCTGCAAGCAAAGGCACAGTGAATGTTCTAGGAACAGCATTTGTATTTTCCCAGCAGCGGGGGTTTTAAGGCTCAAGGTGTTTTTCTCCTTGTTTAAAAAATATATATATGATAAAAGCTCACCAATGATCTCTATACTGTTTATTCTCCTTATTGCAAAATAAGGCTTTCCTTTCTTTCTTTCTCTCTCTCTCTCTTCCTTTCTTTAAGGCAGCTGCTCCTGAAGTCCCAGAGCCTGGAGACTTAACCAAAGTTCACCCCCCCAAAAGAACTGATGATGTAACAAAATTCTGTGTATTTTTTATGTTACTATAACAACACACTTTTTTCTTTTTCTTTTTTCTGTTTTTTTTTGTTTTTTGTTTGTTTAGAGAAAGCAAATCTGTACACAAATATGCTGGTTGCAAGGAAGGCTAGGGGACACTGTTGAACTACGAGTAAGTTAAGCTGTTGGAAAAATAAGAGCATTTAATTTTTTATCTAAAATATGTATAAATCCCCTCAAAATGGTAATGAATCATACACAGTACATACTAAAAGTATTTAAAATAGAGAACATTCCTCACAGAGGACTTTTTTTCTTTAATTACGGCTAAAAAATAATTACAGAGTCCAAACAGGCAGGGAGATTCTCCAATCGTCCACCACGCTGACCCTGAAGGAACCAAGTCCTTCCTCGATGATTCAGGAGGGTCCATCTGGCCACGAGTGGCCTGGCCATTTGCAATAGGTTGGCATGTGCTCAGCAATGTCTTAATGTCTCTCGCCTGAAATCTCAGCACTATTTACCTTCGCTTACATGTCTTTAAGAAATAAGGACAACGACAAAAAAAAAAAAAGTGTCCAAAGGAATTTCAATTGGTTCTTGATTTCTTCGGCTGTTTCTTTTTTAACGATCAGCTCCATCTCCATCCCTCTTCAAGGGCTCCTCAGGGTCTGGTGAGCTGTGTGTAGACCGGTTGTTCCCAATGCTGCGGGCTGTGGGTTTGCGGGATGGAAGGGACTCCGGAGGTGTCAGCGATGGGGGTGTACATGGGGCGCTGCGCCGGGTTCATGTAGGTGAACGTGGAGTAGAGCCCCGAGCCCTGGCCCGCTGCGTGGCTGTAGTAGGAGCCGGAGTTCTGGTGGTCTGTGTAGTCGTACTGCGAGCGCGTGATGGGCGGGTAGGAGGGGCTGTAGTGCGGAAGGTTGAAGGGACTGTAGGCGATCTGCTGCGGGGAGTGCTGCTGCTGCTCGCTGTAGTGGCTGGGGCTCAGCTGCTCCGTCTTGATGTGTGTTCTCTGCGACTGGCCCGGCTCGCTGCTCAGTGTGGTGAGCGTGTGTGCCTGCTGCTGCTGGGGTGCCTGCTGCGGCTGCGGAGGTGCTTGCTGCTGCGGAGGCGCCTGCGGGGCTTGCGGGGCCTGCGGGGGCTGCTGCGGGGGAGGGGGCGGCGCCTGCTGCTTCGACATCCACACGTGGCCCGCGGTCGCGGGGCTGGCTGCGGTGCTGCTTATGCCGTAGCTGCCCGTGTAGGTGACCTGGCCGTGGGTGGCCGGCACCCCTGGGTGGCCGTTGGGTGGCAAGTATTGGTCAAACTCATTGACGTCAAAGGTCTCGATGTTGGAGATGACGTCGCTGCTCAGCTCACCGATGTCCACGTCGCGGAAGTCGATGGGGGGCTGTCTGCCCCCCTCTGCCAGAGGGCGCCCCTCTCGCTTCAGGTCAACTTTGCCAGCTTGCACGTCGGTTTTGGGAGTGGTGGGTGGGGTCGGCGGACCCTGAGATTGCCCTGCAGGCAATAAAAGGGAAAGACAAACCGTGAAAAATCAACAAGGGCTGCGCAAAGCCCCTGGTCTTAGGAGCCCCCCGGGGAACCTCCCTGGTTGCTAAGGTGTCATTAGGACCCGAGCCCGAGCAGAAGGCGGGCTGCACTAACGATAAGTCGCCGAATGATTAACCCGCAGGTACACACTAGACAAGCTCTTTTTATCAGCAGAGTGGTCTGAGGTCCCAAGGGTCCGGAAGGCTAAATTGCTACCTGTAGAAGAGTGTGTGCTTTGGGGGTGAGGCGCTAAGAGAAAAGTAGGCAAGTTTCGTGAAGCCATTAATACATGTTACCTTGCAATAAAGAATCCAGCTCAGGATTCAGGGGTTGAGGTGTGTGTGTGTGTGTGTGTGTGTGTGTGTGTGTGTGTGTGTGTGTGTGTGTGTATGTGTGTCGTGCGCCCGCCTATTTCGGTGGGCCCTGGACAGGGAGGGAGTGCAGGGAATAGTGTTTCCCTACCCCAGGGACCTCAAAGTCCCCACCCAGATCCTGGGGAATGGGGGGGGGGTGTTAAGGGTGTGCCCGGAGGGGCCCAGAGTGGCTAGGCCTAGTAGGTCTCTTTACTCACCGGAGTGCTCTCCCGGGGAGTGCACCTCGCTCATCCCGGAGGAGGAGTGCGGGGAGTCGGCTTGCAGCGCCTTGAAGATGGCGTTAGGAGAGATGTGAGTCTGTTCCGTGGCCTCCTCGGCTTCTGCCTGCCCGTTCTTCACGGACTTCCTCCGCCGTGGCTGGTACTTGTAATCCGGGTGGTCTTTCTTGTGCTGTACGCGCAGCCGCTCCGCCTCCTCCACGAAGGGTCTCTTCTCGCTCTCGTTCAGCAGTCTGGGGAGAGGGGCGGAAGAAAAGAGGGAGAGGGGGTCAGTGAAACCCCAGGAGCGGTCGTGTCCCACCCCTCCTTCGCGCACTTCCCCTCCTCCCTCTATTCTGCTTGCCATCCTCCACCGAGTCTCACAATTTTCCTTTCTTTCTTCTAAGTGTTTGGAGTCGACCTGAACGGTCACTCTTCGCCCCGCCCCCCTCCCCTGGCCTCCTATTTTGGAAACCCTGAAGATGAAAACAGCTCCCTGCCGAGGCTGCTCTAAACGCCTTTGCTACCGGAACGGTCCACCCCCTCCCAACACCCTGTAAAACCTTTCCGAAAACCCACTTAAATCGCAAGAAGCTCACTGAGTCGGTCCACGCCCCTACTGGTTCTCAGTAGCTTTCCCTAACTCCTGCCTGGGTGACCTCCAGCCCATCTTTTCCTTCATCCCTTCTTCCCAGGAAAGAACAGCTTGGTGTGTGTGTGTGTGTGTGTGTGTGTGTGTGTGTGTGTGTGTGTGTGTGTGTGTGTGTGTAGGGGGGTGTTTCTTCTAATTGTTTTTTCGAGGGGACCAGGTTGGCACAACCCCTCATTTCCTCCCCTTCGTTCCTAAAAGCAATCACAATCGTGCCACACAACTCTCCCCCTACCACTCCCCGTCCCCCTCCCCCCGCCCCGCGCGCCATCGTCAAGAGCAATCCCCAGAACTTTCTCAAACTCTGGGCCAACCTCCCCTATCCGCCCCAACCACGCATCCCCGGCTCCTCAGATCCCAGGAGGCAGCTACTTGGCTCAGGGAGGCGGGCCGGGTTGGGTGAGTGCAGCCCCCGTACCGGTAACCACCGAGCCCACCCGACGGTCAGGCGGTGCGCTCACCTCCAGAGTTTGCCCAGTGTCTTGCTGAGCTCCGCGTTGTGCAGATGCGGGTACTGGTCCGCCAGCTTCCTGCGCGCAGCCTGAGCCCACACCATGAAGGCATTCATGGGCCGCTTGACATGTGGCTTGTTCTTGCTGGAGCCGTTGACGCGCACCGGCATGGGCACCAGCGTCCAGTCGTAGCCCTTCAGCACCTGGCTGACCGCCTCGCGGATGCACACGGGAAACTTGTCTTCTTCGCTCTCCTTCTTCAGATCCGGCTCGCCCTTGGGGAACGTATTCTCCTGGGGCCGCGTGTTCTCCGTGTCGGAGCCCGAGCCCGAGGGGCAGGGCGAGCCAGCCGAGTCCTCGGACATGGTGGGGCTGGGGGCTCCGGACAGGCCCTTCTCCTGCTCGTCGGTCATCTTCATGAAGGGGTCCAGGAGATTCATACGCGAGCCCGGGGCAGGGGACGGGAGGCTGGGAAAGGCGAGAAGCCGCGGCGGCTGGGGCTCCTCTTCCTCTGCTGCCCGGACGCGGACGCCGAGCGAGCGGCTCCCGGGGAAGTTGGAGAGTCACCGGGCGGCAGCGGTGGACACTTAGCAGAGGCACTGGCTGGGTGGCCGCTGCTCAGCTGCCCGCTCCAAACCCGGGGAAGGCGAATCGGAGAGGAGGAGAAGGAAGGGAAGACAGAGAACTTAACCGGGGCCACTTGCACCCCGTCTCTCTTGCAAAGAAAAGTTCCTGGACTGAAACTGGTAAAGTTGTCGCCCCACTGAAGTTTCCAGGCAGTTCCGAGCAGCGCTCACGGCTCTCCGACTCCCAGCCCAGGGTCTCTTTAATAAATACCCCCCCCCTTCTCCTTAGAGACCTCCGACCAATCGCAGCTCGGCAGTCATCAGGGTTGGCAAGTCGCTGATTGGACCGGATTTTGGAGAGGGGGGAGGAGGATTGTGGCTCCGGGTTGGGTGACGAGACACGAGGGGTGGGGAAGGGAGGGGAGCGCAGCCTGGGGTGGGGGGGTGGTGGTGGTGGGTGGTGGGGTGAGGGGACTTGGGGGGGCACCGCGGGGCAGGCGGGGGATCCGGGACGTCCGAGTGAGTACGTTCGCTCTCTACTCTAGGAATGTCACAGTTTTGGAACCGTCTCAGTGTGAATCGGTGTGTGTGTGTGTGTGTGTGTGTGTGTGTGTGTGTGTGCACGCGCGCGCGCGTGTCTAGACTAGGACCCCCGCCCCCCCCTCGATCCCACTACTTTTCGAAGCTGTGTCCGCGGTACCCGGGGTTTCGCTGGCGTTTACAGCAGTGGAAATTGCAGCAGCCACGGCTCAACGCGGAGTTCTGCTTCTGCGCCCGGAGCCTGCCGGCTTCCAAAAGTGCTTAGAAATGGTCTTTTGGAAGCAAATGTTTGGGTGACTCAACGCCCGCTGTTCTTCTGTAATAATCCATATAAATAGATTAACGCGCTCTGGTTCTCCGAGGCTGGTGTGGTGGCTGGAGATTTCGCAGCGCTCTCGCAGTGGGAATCAATGAAAACCAAAGCTAAGTGCCAGCGAAGGCTGGCGGCGACCGGGCAGTGCCTGGTTCTCTTGGCGGGTCCCGTGGGCCACGCCGACCTTGGACTGACAAGTCCTTTCCGGGGCCCCCTCCAGCACTCGGACGCCCCTCGGGGTTAGGGTTGTTACTTTAGAGTTTTGCTTCTTGCCTCCTGTTTGAGTCACAAACGTCAGCTTGGTCACCACCGGAGTTTGCAAAACTGCTCCGGCGTTGAGGGTGAAGTTTGCAAAGGTGGCAGCGCCGGGCGGCGAGGCCCAGGAGGCCGGTGACTTGGACTGGAAAACTTCAGACAAAACGGGCCATTGGCGGAGTCCTGCGACTCTCACGCCTGGGCCTTCCTTTACCCGGGAGGGTGAAGCGCTAGGCGTCTGGACTTAGGTCGTGTCCTTTTAGACCTGAGCACAGGTGGGCGTTCTGGAGGAGAACGCGTAGGTGTCTGTTGTACTTTAAGAGTGCTGGGAGCCAGAGCTGGTGTTTTCGAGAACTCTTAGAGCAAGGTTGGGTAAGGGAGGAATTATCTTTTTTGGAACGAATTAAAAATCAACTGCTACCGGGTGACATGCCCTCGGAACAAACAAACGCGCAACGGTGTAAAAAAGAAAAACAACAACAACTTAATTTAAAATCCCCCCTTTCTGATTCTTGCAAAATTTCGCTTGGAACTTATTACATTATTGATAAAGTGAATCGGCCTGCATCATATCAAAGACAGGTTCCCCCCTCTAATTTGCTAAGCATGGACACTTAGATGTAAACGAATCTTTTCTTTGGGATACTTTTGAAATGCTAGTTTCCCCCTCGTTTTCTCCCGAAGTGGGCATTTGTTATACGGAAAAGAAACCCTGTGAGGAGGTAGTAAGCCACAACCCGGTTCAGTCGGGTTTTCTTCTTAAACGAATGCTACTCGACTTGCAAGTCTCTAGTATTCTATAGTCTGTTTACGAGTTTAAGAGACGAGCAAACAATAACCACTTATTCGTAGCTCTCATTATTCCCTCAATCTGTAAGAAAAAAATACCATTTCAGAGTAGGGGTCAAGTTTTGTTAGTGCGGGCATATTTTGTTTCCTAGGGAGGACCCCCTAGACACCCGGCTGAAGAGAGCAGAGACCACGGGCAGATGTATTAAACCAGAGAGTTGTAATTTGTTGTAATTATCACGTTTTTGGCACAAAAGCAATTAAAACGACTGTGGCCTTAAGGCGTTTTGAAATATTTTATTAAACATTTGTTCATGAACACATTCATTTATAAATATGTACAACACAACATTTGGTGAGATGTAATGTGCTGCGACGGTTTAAATCACGAAGCTTCTTACATGTTTCTACCCCTCCACGCAAGCATTTTTATATTCTTGAATCCTCTCGGAAAAATTTTTAAACGGTTGAAAATTAAAATTGCACTGCAATTCTCCGCCACATCCAGAGGGGGCGCCAAAAGCCCAGAAACTGTCTAGAACTTTGAGAAACTGCTGGAAAACTTTCACCGTGGTGGAGGGGCAGGGGCCCGGGTGGGGGAGGTGGCGGTGATGTGTTCCACTCAGTCAATATTGCTTCCGGGATGGGACCTATCTCTGCAGGAATTCCTATTCCTATTCTCTCCTGTGTGCGAGTCCAACTGTGCAGTCTCCTTAGGGGAAGCTGGGAAGTGCTTGTCTTCAGGGAATGGGGCTGGGGAAAGCGGGGCCAATGCCAGTGTTTCTCTTTTGCACGTAACTTGGAGAGTGAGAGTAAAGGAGAAGGCCCCCTATTCCCCAGGTGCCAAGTGTTATCTGGTGTGCCAAGATGGCGCCAAGTCTGGCGGGTAGGCACCATCAGTTTAATAAGAGTGGCTGGGCCTGAATTTCTTCCAGGGCCTGGACAGCCCCCTCCCCACTCACCATTCCAGCCTCCGCCCACTGTGAGTTGCCCTTTTCAGATGCCCAGACCCTCTCCTCTCAGAGCTGGTTATGGAAAGGGCTTGCAGTCCCCAAGTCTGGAGACCTTGGCTTGGAGTGAAAGCATCCTGGTCTAAAGTTTAGATCACAGATTGGGAAACTGAGGCTAGAACTTTTTTGCCCTAGGTGGATGCTCCGGCTCTGCAATTTCCTGGGCTTAGGGATTGGAGGCCAAACTCTAAGACTAAAGGGGTTTCACAAGTTACCCACACAGGTGCTAGTAGAACCCCTTAGAGGGCGTTGGGAAGCCCTAGTCTGAGATTTCCCCACTTTTTCTTCAGTTCAGGGTTCAGTTTTCCGGCTGATGTCCCCTCCTGATGCTAGCTAGCACTAGTGGGGACAGGAGTAGGTGGAGGGCGTGTCAAGTGGACTTAAGGGGTGCTGCGCCGGCAGAGCCAGAGAGTATCCAGCCCCTGGTGGGGGTGAGGGTGTGAAGGCCCACGCACACTTTCCACATGAGGAATTGAGGGCCAAAACCTCCCTACTTCAAAGTCCTTAGCAGCGTGGGGGCCTTGTTTAAAGACTCCCACCTGGGTCCCAGATCCTAGGAAATACCAGCGGCGGGTAACCGATGCATTCCCCCAGTAAGATACCATCCTGGGCCGCGTTCACCGATACGATCCCCTGAAGGGACACCCCTTTCTGCCTTCCAGTGCCCAGGCTGGGTCCACTCGAAGTGATCTCGCACGACCTTGGATTCGCACAGGAGGTCCCAGCACACGGGGCTCGCAGACGCTCTTCCGTGATTTCCATTTTTCGCTGAGGCATGCAGTGTTTGTTCTTTGCTTTTCCAGCCACAGTTTCCTTTGGGAAGGGAGCGCCAGCTTAGCCTGTTCTCCGGACAGGACAGGCGTTGGGCTGGATTGCAATAGCAACACAGCGGGGAGAAAGAGGCAAAGCTGATGGCTTTGTAGGCGAGCAATAAATATCCGAATAGATGCGGCCTTTGGACTGTTTGCTTGTGTGATCACGACAGCCAGACCTCCCGGCAACGCGTTCGCTCGGTAACCGCCTTTACACACTTATGCGTCAGTTTCTCTCTAGACCCGTGAGACCGGTGTTGCTCAAAACGGTAAACCTAAAATGGACATTTTTTACCCTCCCCCTTCTGTATTTGAAGGAGAAGGATGAACCACGGGGAAGGTGTTGGATGAGGGGGTGTGGCCACCTATCTGCCTGTTTCCTGCTACCAGTTAGGTCCTGAGACACCTCCGACCTCCCGGGAGTATGAGGACCAGAGACTGACTATAAACTGGCTGGTTGAGTCTGGAAATGGAAAAGAAGGGGAGTGATGTGGGAGGCGCCTCCCTCTCGAGGGACGGCAACACTCCCCAGAGGAACGCGATCAGCCTTCATCCCCGGTTTTCCAAAAATATCTGTCCTTGGAGGTGGTGCTGGCGAGTCCCTAGAACACCCTGCGGTAAATTTCCTGGGCTATGTCTTAAGCCCCTACTCACCCACCTCCAAAGGCTTTGCCCTGTTGATTTAAAAATAAAAATAAAGTAGGAGCTTAATGTGGAGGTGCGAGCCCCAGGCTTATTCTGCCCCCAGGGCACCTTGGGCAGACACAGATCTGACTCCTCCTCTTGGGACTCCTTGTACCCTTTCTGAGCAAAGGTGTTTAGTCCTCCAAAAGGAGCCCACTGCAGCACCGAATTCCTCATGGCAGCTGTGTGGGGTCTTCTAAGGGAGGGCGGGTCCTGTCACTTTTTTTTTTTTTAATTTCCAACCCTATCAGAGTCTAAGGTGCTTTTGTCTCTACAATGCCCATAATAGGAGGGTGAGTTTTTCAGATATTTATAAAGTTCTCTGTCAAACCATGGAAAGGGAGGGCACACCTTTGTGACACAACCCCCAATCCCAATGGCAGATTGTCAGGGTTAAGGAGACTCCAGTTTGAATCTTCCCTGACACTCCCTACAGCAGAGCTCAGAAAGCCAACCAGCAGCCAGGGCCTCCCTTTCTACCCTAAGTTTATCCTGGGCCAAGCCGAAGGTCCCTCTGGCTGATTTGGGGACCTGCCATGGGTTCAGGGGGAGCAGGAGTGACACCCCAGGCACACAGGCAAAGTTCAGTAGTCTCCTTCTATCCTACGGTATGGCTAAAACCAAGGTCATGAGGTCAACCTGAAATCTGAACTACCTCCCATGTGCGAGAGACTGGGAAGGCACTGGCCACTAGTGGCCACCTGTCACAGAATGGTGCTGCAATCTCGGGGTACGCTGTCTCCTCCCCTTCCTTCTCCCCCCCTCTTCCTTTTCTTCCCCCTCCCTGTGTTGTCCTCCACTTTCTTTTCTTCCTTGTCCCCCCCCCCCTCTGTTTGGGACAGGGTCTTTTGTA